TACTACTACTACTACTACTATGACTACTAGGCCTACTATACTACTACTACTACTACTACTATTACTACTACTACTATTACTACTACTACTACTAATATTACTACTACTACTACTACTACTACTACTACTACTACTACTACTACTACTACTACTACTACTTATTCTACTACTATACTACTACTTATTCTACTACTATACTACTGCTATTACTGATACTTCTACTCAATTTCCCCGAAAGTATATTCAATGCATGTCATCACAGAACATAACGAACCGGTTTATTTTTCTGAAATATGCTTTAGCAAACGTAGTGGTACATTGTTGTGAAGTACAATATACGTTCATTTGCGGTGCACATATTAGCTGTATTATTAGCAACAGAATATTATGCGAGGATATTGCCATTTAAAGCAGTCGGTGCATAAATACAGTAAGTACACAATAAATCAATTGAATCTACACACAGACTATCCAGGCATGTGTATTGAAATAAACGAAACTAAATATCGCATTTCCATTATCAACATGTGTTGTATTTATAATACACGAAGTCCTGTGCCATGCATGCCCCGCCCCTCCCCTCCTTCAACGACGTGTGAATATGAACGACGTTAGTACACTTACCTCGGAGTGGAGCTAATTCAATTATCATTTAAATTGCTGCCAAAGAATTCCCACATAAAAAGTTGTTTACATCAGCATTCAATAGAAACCATGTACAACTGCTTCAAGTTATTCGCGATATTTGTGTTCTCGTAGAAACTGATATGTTCAATCAATTTGTCCATGAAGGACCCGGTCTAATTCTTCGTGATCCGTGGTCAATAACATGTCGAGGTAAAAATACAAATGACATAGAATTCAGCCTCGGTACCTTGGGTTTAGCCTTCCAGACGAGCTCCTATTCAATTTGTGGCACTCTTCTCAAAATTCTATTATACAATGTACTATTTACCTACACTCCGTCATAAATGCGGATCATTGATGCGTGTATATATACACCGTCAATCCATACATGTATACAAAATACTGTCACCACAGTAGGCTACTAACATTATCATCGAGACTCATTGGATTTAATGAATATAAGACTGTGTGGTGAAAACTCGTTATCAAATCATAATTATATAAGATTGAACATTTTGAATGTATTTACCTTTTGGTTGTGCTAAACCTGCAGTAAGAACAGTTCCGGTTGATGATATAACGATGTAGTATTCCAAACAGTTTCGCTGCACAAGATCGTAGGGGTAATACAAAGTTCCTCCTACCTGTTAGCGACCCTGTGGGATCGTGAAGTACCGCTCTGTGGTATGTATACCACGGTGGTTGTATAGCTCAGTATAGTGAGATGCGAAGAGTGATTGCGATCAAGGTAAATCCTTCACTCAGGAGGAGAAGAAAAAAGGTCCTGTATTATCAATAATCCTTGATGACCTCTTTACGGGGGCCACGTATTAATGGTTCCTTGACTATTCTGAAAGAGAATGACTGATGTAACCAATTTTGTAGGGTTTCTCTCTTTTTCGAAAGCTTTTATTTTAGTTGGTTAAATATTATGACGGGGTAAATAAGCCAATACCCGGGAAAAGGAATTACATATTGAAGCACTTCCTTGCCGACTATGAGGTCTAGGATCAAGAGACCTTCAGTTGGGGATGTTCAGAGTTTTGACAGTTTAAACGATGGAATAAGATTATCTCTGCTACTTAATCGCAATGATACGTACGCAAATATCCAAGTAGCTTACTGGAATATACAAAATAATATTATTATAGGAAATCGGTGCTCGGGCAGAAATCGAGATCAGCTTTTAAATGAATCCTCCAGAACATCCTGTATTCTATACATAGAAGAGTGTAGAGAAGTAGGAGACAGAAAGCAACTGAACTTACTCAAATGTCTACCTTCCTTTTGCTTATCTCTTTCGCAGCAGTCAGTGTGCATGTTAGAGCTTTAAAGAAAAGAGTAAACATTGGATAGATAGGGAGGGCATACACCTGAGAACATATACATGTAAACAATCAGTCAAGTTTCAAACACGAACCCGACTATCTTATCATTGAACCTATCCTTTATTAAACCGTTATACACATGCAGACTGTCGTATGAAGTCATAAAGATGAGTGTCTAGATGGTGAAAAGATTCTCAATCCCTCTATACTGGTCGAAATACCATGGTGATCAGAGTATTCGCAAAATGTATTGATCAGGAGTTCATTAGAAGTTGAACATGATTGTGAGAGGTACAACGAGGGCCATGGGATATTCCCCAGTTACGTCTCTCATAATAATATGGGAGTAAACTGTAATTCTGTAAATATAATACTCTTGAAAAAATGGATTTACTTGTTGTATCAGTCAGAGTAATTGGTTTTATTGAAGTATGTGTAAGCATGGTTTTAATTTCCATTACCAATGAATTCGGTTCACTCTAACATGTTAAAGCAGTAAACTTCTCTCACTATTGATCATTCTTGTTTTATAGAAAAGATTAAAACAAGATCGAAAGGACTTTCGAAAAATCCACTTAACCCTATTATACTGCCTTTGAAAATCAACTTCAGGTTTGTGTAATGTGGTATTGTTCGTACATATCAAAGATGACGTATATATATATTTAAAATTGCCCTAGAATGATTCTTTGCAAGTCTTGGCGATCCTGTACGCATTAACTCATGCATGATTGGATATTTTCCTTCGCTAAAAGCGACTCTCACGGCATCACAAACGAATAGTTATACCTCCTTGTGTGAGTTGGGGGTGGACTAATATTGTAAACCTAAATAGAGAATGAATCAAATCCATATTTGGATCACACTCAGTGGCATACTCTAGATTCTTTATTCTTTGTCGGAAGGGGGAGGGGCGAGCATTAAGTCGAAATATCACAGCTGATTAGCTATTCAAAAATTGATTAGCACATTTTTTACAGAGGCAATAATTATTTTATAAGAAGAAGAAAAAACACTCAAAATCTCAAATAGGGATCTAAAATTTGGCTGGGGGTACACGCGCGGGGATTTTTGCGAGGGATAGAATCTGCCCTTAATAATATGATAACATTGAACTGTTTTCTGTAGAGCATGTAACCGCGATTGTTGATGTCCCTATATGCCCTTAGATCGAAATGTACCCCCCATGCCCATTCCCATGCCTCCTCTTCGTCATTCCATAAGAATTTAATCCAACATAAGTAAGAAATAGTGTTTATAAAAGAGAATTAGAGAAGATGGGGGAGGGGTATGTTGTGTCAGTATCATAGAAAAGGATTGAGGGTATTTAATTATAAGAAAGTATGCTAATAGTTTTCATGTTATTTAATGTATCACTTCAATTTAAAGTTATTGTATTTATTGCTTCCCCCACAGAATGCTTAGGCACATCGTTGGATCGTTGTATTGAGCGCTATATAAAAAACCGGATTATTATTATTATTATTAAGAAATCTGACTACGTTATTATCATTCTTTATTTGAACCAGACATGTCAGATGGACGGATCACTAATACATTGCCAATGATTTCACGACTCTCATAAAAGTTTCATTGGTATGTTCACAAAATTGTTCATAAAACAACAAGAATGTGCGTCACAGACAGGTGTCCAACTTCAGAGACCGAGTTTGCCAATGTGGAACATGGAAAAGAAGCTTAATCATCTCTGGTTTTGAATGTCCTCGAACACTTTCAACCTCTCGGAATTCTTGTTTTTTTTTGTATATATATATATTAAAGTGCATGTTCATATGATATATGGACAGTTTTCTGTTGCAATTGGTGGGAGGTCATTTTCATAAAAATAATGACTGTCCTAAAATCTCGGTATCCAGTCAATAGAATTAGCGGTTGGTAGTGGAATGGGCGAGAGATGGCGTACTCTTCGTTTTGTATAAGCGCTCAGGGAAACCATCGTCGTAAATGTCAGATGACATAATTACCATGGCTCATACTTATTTTTCTTTATTAAGCCTACTTGGTAACTAAAATATTTTCAAGTTTGTCAATTACTATCAAGTATTTACGAAACCTTAGTGCATATTTAATTGCAGCTAGCCTTGTTCACGAAGCCTACAGTTAATACTTGGCAGGCGCGGATCCAGGATTTCTTAGGGGAGGGGGCCAAACTTTTTTTTTTTTTGCTCCCGAAAATTTGAAAATCGCGCCGGCCGAAAAGTCGCTCAGTGGGGGGGGGGGGGGGGGGGGGGGGGGGGGGGGGGGGGGGGGTACAGAGCACAATTTTGATTTTTTTGATTTTTTTTTGCTCCCGAAAATTTGAAAAACGCGCCGGCCAAAAATGCTCAGTGGGGGGGGGGGGGGCATTTTTTTTTTTGATCCTCAAAAAATTTTCAATTTACATGAGCGAGGGGGGGGGGGGGAACCCCCAAAAAAGGTAAAAATCACGTGATTTTACATGATTTTTTCTCAAGGGGGGGGGGGGGGGGATGGTGATGATGGATGATGCTATGGTACCCATATCGAATAAACCAAGGTTAGTTGGTGATGATCACGATGATTATGATGATGGTGATGATGGTGATGATGGTGATGATGGTGATGATGATGATGATGATGGTGATGATCATGATGATGGTGATGATGGTGATGATGGTGATGATGGCAGGATGGATGGTGGTGATGATGATGATGATGATGGTGATGATCATGATGATGGTGATGATGGTGATGATGGTGATGATATTCAAATGCACTAACTATGACATTATACAAGGAATACGTGAATTATAAGATATTCTTTGAAGATTTTGAGAGATCTTTAGTTTCAGAGAAATGTTGGTAGTTGATTCCACAATTTTAGAGCAGGAGTTGGTAATCATGTGTCATCACGTGTTTGGGTTTATATGAATAATAATGGGCGGATCCAGGAAGTATGTTCCCCATGAAAATTCGTATACTTAAATTTCACACGTGTGTCCCACGCCAACATTTTATGTGCCAACTCTTGACAAATTTGAGAACTCTCTTGGACACATTGAGACATTCAGATTAATTCAATGTCAACTTTATTCCACAAATACAAAAACACATATACATGTACAATCCAAATATTGCAGACATAGAATACATGGAATGATAAAAGTACTATCTTCATGTTTACACGTCTGTTGAAGGGGTATTTAAAAATCAATGATCGTGAACTACCCCAGTAATAACAAAAATGTATAACATACGGGAACAATTACATATAGTTACATTTAAAGATAATATACACTAATGGGCAGTTTGTACCAAGAGAGAGAGAGAGAGAGAGAGAGAGAGAGAGAGAGAGAGAGAGTGAGAAGGAGGAGAGGGGAAATACAAAAAGGGAAATACAAAAAGGGAAATACAAAAGGGGACCTAGACATGGTAAAGGAACAATGATAACAAATATATCTTTCTTTTTTAAGTGAAAGATATTTTTACTTTTTATACTGCCGCGACACCTAATTTGTAGAGATTACTAAGTATTTTAAACTATCCTAAAGAAATAACAAGTATACTTTTTTAAGGACCTTGTGGTTAGGGGCTTTGTTCGATACCTAGCAGAATTATCTTTCCAAATGTCATTCGTATAATTGTTTTCTAACCAGATCACAAAGATGAGTCATGAAATCCATGTTTGTACAGTGCATTTCATTGGCTCAATTTAATTTCAATAGCATGTATAACTATGAATCATACATATGTTTTACTTTATGTTTTCATTAGTTACCTCTAAGAGCAGTGCTTGACTTTGTCTCTCCGTCGAATAGCAACTACTGGCTGGTATCATATTATTTCTAAATAACAGTTATTTATTAAGGTACACAACAATGACAACACATGATGCAGTATAATGCTACATACCCTTATTAGCTTCATTAAGTTTATCAAGTGGTAATTGTCTCAAAGTGGCACGTTTTCCTTTCTTAAGTCTCATTTCTCGAACATCATGAAGTGTCTCAGCTGTCATCCTTCTATCTCGTTTTAAAGTTTGATGAAGTGAATTGATCATTGCATCGCTGTAGATTGTCACCCGACGTTGATTACGTAGAGCTGATGGTTGCCTGTAAGGAGGTGGACTCTGAGCGTTACCTAGCAACCCAGCTTCCATTGTTTGTTGATTATACTCTGGTGATGGTACAGCTGATTTCAGTCTGTCTGATAAAAGTTTGGAGAGTTTAGGTGCTATCAATCTGGATGCTGTTACTTCAATTTCAGGAAAGGCTTCATGTTGATATTCAATAGCCATTTTTCTGTTGGTGTGCTCAATGCAGTCTGCACATACCCTTTGTCCTAGCACCTCACAGTAATGAAGTTTCTGCTTTTCGTCATGGCTTTCAGCTAGGTTTGATTGCAGAATATGTCTGTATTTCTTATTGGATAGGAGCATCTTTCCATGGACGCCATTGTGCATCCAGTTATACTCGTCACAAATAGTGTTGGCAGTTGGTAGTCTAATGGGCGAGAGATGGCGTACTCTTCGTTTGGTCTCATTCCTCATTCCATTAACACACGCACTAAGAGGGAAACCAGTCACTTTCTTGATGTATCCTCTTTCTTCCCGCCATCCAATGTCCGATAATTCCCGAACTATGGCTGTCCGCTGGCCAGGGATGGGCAGTCTACACACCATGAAACAAGAAAACAGATGTGATTTTTATTTATTTCTTTGAGAACTATAATAACCCCTAATTACGCAAAATTTCTTCACAAGCTTGCCATTTCTTTCATTCAGCAGCTATAGCGGAACAGTTAGTTGAAATTGGATGCCATGAGTCTGGTCTCCGGTATGGATCAGAAAGTCTACCATGCAGAGCTCTCCTGGGCATTAAATAACAAAGACCTTTCTATATTATACCTCATAGGCCTACTTGAATAATCTACTTAGATAATTCCTATCGATTCCAAAACCACAAAACTTCATCCTTTTCTCCATTCACTCTCAGTTTCCATCGATTTGTCATTCCAGTGTAGAATCATTTCTTTCGGCATTCTTTTACATTTATTTTATGTTTTAGTGTTGTAAAATCTGACTTGAAAGATAATGATTGAGAAGACAGAAGATGATTGAAAATCATTATAACTGCGATATCCATCTCTTGCAGGTTTGTTATCGGTGCATTTATAATTTCGAAAACTTGCATGATAAATATAAGCTAAACAGAATACGAATCGTGACAACTGATCCTAGTCCAAACTTAATATTGTTAAAACAGTATCCTTACCCGGTTAAATTTGAAGGATTTCCATAGATAGAGTGTTTATCAATGACATTCTCTCGTCTCTGATTGAGGGTCATAAACTCCCAACATTTTGGGAACTTCACCGGAACAGGTTTTCTAGCGTATCCCTTGATAGCTACCGCATCATCTTCTTTAGCTGCTCCTACGCCCTGTGCTGTTTCCACAACATTTCCACTAGCAACGGGATCAGCGGAAAGTGTTTTGGGGTTCATCTTGCATTACCCTTTCTGGGTGAAGTTGAGAAAAGGCCTAAATATTGTAAAAGAAGTTGAAGGAGATGGATAAAAGAGCAGGAGAGAGGAAGAAAGAAAGAAAGAGAGAGAGAGAGGGGAGAAGTGGAGAAATATGATATAATATGACATCGATTTTAAGAATATACACATGGCAGAGAAAATAATGCAGGATAACGACTTCTACATGTAAGGATGTATCAAAAATACACCATGAATCAAACTGTTCTGGCAGTTTTATTTGTAAAAGTTAAGTACATGAATGACAATTTACTTATCCCAATGTGTGGGCTACCCTTAGACCCGTTGGAATGTTTGCTTTGTGAACAATTAAAAAAAAAAACACTATTGAACTTGAATGTGTAAATAATTCGATAACTGAGCTATCCAGAAGTTATGAATAGGGGAAGGGGGTTGGAGCTGCAGCTTTGCATGCCCCCCCCCCCCCACGGACCCATAATTTCATACATTTTGCATAATACATACCAGGCAAACATGCATTTAAATATAAACCTATAATGTTGGACCATCAGTAATATCCGTCTAAATGTCACTATTAGGTATTTCATTTCATTTCATTTATTTATTGTGTCCATATAGGATAATTGTTTATATTTACATGAACAATCTTGCTTCAACATATGAACATAGGAACAACATATATTTGACATTCATAGGACCCCTTTTTTAGTATACATTTGATATAATATACATGATCATGATGAATATACATTTAAATACTCTTTCTTCTTCTTCTTCTTCTCGCTTTATTCTTACATACACTCCAATTTTTTAAAATTCTTATATGCTCTAATCTTAAGTAGGTATTTTGTTTTAAAAATTATTTCTTGATATGGTATAAATGTAGGGGTACAACAGTAAAATAAGTTTACTGAAACAATATATATATATTTGTGTAATATGTCAATTAAGGTATTTTGCATGGTTTTCACATTCTCTTCTCTTTACTGGATTTCATTAACAACTCTTAAGGAAAGTGGAATGAATGAATTAATGCGGCGACTAGTTCTTGCTTTAACAGATCTCAATCCTCGTCCGCTTCTCAGGTGTATGTACTGGTCATTAAGGGGGTGATGGGTTAGATCAGACATAATAGATAGGGCCTTAGATACTACTCTTTCCTTACAGACTTGGTATTACGCTTTGACTTGTCTTCCCAAGGCCCAAGACAGCCTTTTGTCGATTTCTGTGCCTAGGTATCTATAACTTTCAACATTCTCAATGGTATCATCATTAAAGTATACAGGTTTATCAATGGATTCAAAACATTTCTTTTACCTAAAGTCAAAAACATGGAAATGGTAGCTCTGTAATCAAGTTCATTTTCAGTATATAAAAGTTATAGGATAATTCGTAATACTTATGAGATATAATTATTGGACGCTTCAATACTCATGAGATTGATTTCTAATATCTTTGAGACACTTTCGGAAACCATGGCAAGACTAGTGCAAACATCGAGGTTTTAATGATTTACCTATCAGTTAATATCAATATACATGAAATATGCAATCATATTGCTTTTAAATTTTAATTTCCATATATGCCATGACAATTTATCTTTCTTCCACCAACCCATATTGTAAAGAAACACTGATATGCAGACAAACACAAACACGACAAAGTAATTTTAATCAACTTACAGTATTTTCTTATCTTGTAGCTTCAACTGTCTAAGATTTCTCTTGATAAATAAGGTGTTCCTAAGGACGCTGCAAATCCGTTGTTCCTGCTTGGTCAATTTTTTTTTCTCCAGAGAGCAAATGTGATAAATTTTACCGAAACTACGATACGATACCCCTGTTTGTATGGCAGTAGCCATGTTGTACCGAGTTTGTTATTGAGAAACAATCCTGCGTGCCAATCAATAACGTCTTGGATTCTTTTATTCTCATTATCGATAGTATGCGTCGTTAACCCGACATTAAAGAAAGGCAGGCCTCCTAGCCAGATAGTATTGTCTGATTTTAAAGAAAAACCGGTATGGCGTATATATAGTAGTGATATACCGACATCGGGTTCACTTTACGACGCAGAGGGAGAGGAAGAGGAAGAAGAAGAAGAAGAAGAAGAAGAAGAAGAAGAAGGAGGAGGAGGAGGAGGAGGAGGAGGAGGAGGAGGAGGAGGAGGAGGAGGAGGAGGAGGAGGAGAGGAGAAGGAGAAGGAGAAGGAGAAGGAGAAGGAGAAGAAGAAGAGAAGAAGAAGAAGAAGAAGAAGAAGAAGAAGAAGAAGAAGAAGGAGAAGATTGAAGAGAAGAAGATAAGGAAAAATTAAAGCATCCGCGTTTCGCTTCAAATTCATTTTTTGGGGTATACCGATCACCCCCCCCCCCCCCCCCTTCTCCCCCTCCCTCTCTCTCCCCCTGGACTCCTCTCTCGCTCATTTCTTTGCTTCTGTCTTTCCCTTTCAATGTTTCACTAGTCCACTTGACATATTTTGACCTTCTCGCACTTAATCAACAATGTTTCCTTAACATTAAAAAAAAAAAAAAAAAAAATGTACAGTACTTTGTCATTAGCAGGGCATCAGGAAAATTGAGTGTTTCATTTGTACCGATTCCAACGAAGCCATAAGCGGCATTGCAACAACAAAAAAACTATTCAAAATTAAAGAAAATTTTAGTAGAATCTCAAATGTTTACTTCACTACACAAACTTTCACTGTCGCAAAGCAAAACAAAAACAGACCAATAAGTTGAAATGTATGTATTTTTTTAATTACATGTACGAGTGCATTTATACCTCACCAATACAAATGAGGCTAATCTTTTAAAAAATGTCATGTTATTCAACAGATTTTCATAGTTTATTCTGTCTCCAGACTTTTAATAAGTTTATGAATCTTTATTCAATATTTGACCAGGAAAGTGAGGATAAAGAAATATTAAAATATTGAAATTACCTCATGGGTAAAAAGTGTTATGAACAGCTCTTTGCAATTCATCATTCCTTGGTTAATATTCTGATATCATTAAATCAGAAACTGATAATCTTTTATATTCAAGATTAAATTTCAGACTAGGTATCTACTTTCTTCTACCATGTCTAGACCAATGTAGTACATGTATCTATGATTCAATATTTGTTTACACTCACCAATATAAATATGAAAACAAGTAATCAACACCAAATTACTGCATTTGGGTTTCTTGTATGGGTTAAATACCATTAGCAGTTTGTCACAGAAATTATTATACTATAATTATAATATTTAATAATATACATGTAACTTACATTTTTTTTTAAATGAAAGAGGGAAAAGAAAATGGAACGGGCTATGAGTCATCCCATGAATTGTTAAATACTCATCAATAAATCTTTTGAAGTTGTGGAAATGGACTTAACTGTAAAAAGACAAGAAACATTCATGACATCGTTTGACATGCCTTGTTTAAAAGCAGATTACTAATTATCTTTCATCATAAGGTGGACCATCTATAATGTATCTGCTTTGAAAGTGAACCAATCACCAAAATATAGTTTGCTCTGTACATGTACGGTAAGGGCAACAATATCCATGATAATGAGATTCAAATACTCCTTCTGTGAAGAGATAATACAAGTTGAGAGACGTGACTTGTGAGTAGACTAGATGATGTACATGTATGATGTACGTGTCAGCATTGAAACAGTTGGGCAGGGAACCCAAATTTGAATAAATTTGAATTGTGTCCTTTATTATCTTCATATTCCTCAAACCATTTGACCCATAGAATGCAAGGAAATTTTAAGGAGGTAGATTTTATCCATTCTCTCCTGACAATATAAGATCATTCACATCTTGATATACAAGCAAGATGATCTTACTTTCCCCATAATTAGTTGAAATTGGATCATTAAGAATGTTGAGAGCGTACAAGACACGCTTTGTTGCTGCCTTAAGAGTTGTGAGTAGTTGAGTACCGAATACTCTTCAAACTCCTCTGATGATCAAAGTACACTTTGGGAAAATCAATAGAATCCAGCTATCAAAGAGTGGAAATCTTATCCACACGCTTCTCAGAACTTGACATGGATTCATTGCAGCTTCAAATCAGAGACCAGTATGCTATCCCTCTCTCTCCTGAGGGTTGTTGTATTGTAGGTCAAGCCTCAGTCCAAACACGGTTCTTCTTCCATGATCCTTGTTGGGCTTTCAAAGTCTTTTAAAAATACAAGTCTGAGATGAGCAGGATGGCTGCCTGGCTACCATGCTTGCTTCTTTGTGCCTTTCTTCAAGATCTTCCCTTTAGAGTTCTTATTTTGCATCTTCTTGATATTTCTACTATTCATCCATACAGGGTAGTTACCATGCTCATTCTGAAGCTTTGTCAGATTCCATTTGGCGTCAACAGCCATGCCTGTAAGAAAAAGAAAAGATTTTTTTTTAAATTCTTCTTAAAGGCAAAGACCAGTATTGGAACGCCCCAATTAAAAAAAAAAATGAAATGGAAGCTCTTATTACCAATCGTGTGAAAGAACATGTTTTGACTAATACATAATGATAACAAATTTGCCGGGAAACCGCCTACTGATATATTTGGTAAATTAGTTTATCTATTGTTATGTGATAGATAAAACGCACGTGTCACCCACGTGTGCACAGTCCCATATACATCTTTCTGTGTACGGTCCTTGTGACTTTACCAAGGTGGGCCAAATTTCTGATCATTTTGATGATTCCAGAACCTTGCAGTACACACCAATACTTATGCTAGATGATCAACCTTTTCTGATCGATACCACAACGTTTCTTTCACAATGCGATCGCATGACCAGAACTGATCTTTATCCCTAAGTCACTGAACACAATAAACATACTGTTGACTGCAAACAATGATTCTATAATAATTTCCCATAACAAAATTAATGAAGAATGGGCTGGAGGCAGGAGGCAGGGTATAGGGAATGAGACTGTTTTGATTTGTTTCACATGTATGTAATTAACCAACGATCAAAAAGCGAAGTTGAAGAGAAATGTTGAGTTGGTAGACGTCCTGCGAGATGGCTAGACTACGTCAAAATTTGGAAGGTAGAATACAAGAGTGAATGCGCGAGAGAGAAGCTGACGGCCTTGATGGTACATGTATAACATAGTTCTAATTCACCTTTATCAAATTACAGTTTATGATTTCAAGACACATTTAAATAGATCATTCTAATACATACTCATACAGCAATTCTACTAAAAATCATAATTTCAGTCAAACTTCAAATAAAATTGTAAACAATTTAGGAATTTCTATAACATTCTCATATTTACAAGCACACCTATGTAGTAAGCCAATTTGGTTCAAAGCAGAAAAAAAATAATGAGAAGCGTTGGTTTGATATACGATAAGAAAGTTGTGAAGATTTTAATTTTATTCTGAACATGAGATTGCTGAATGTACATGGATATCAAATTGAGATACTTTCTCAAATGTAACTGAAATTTTTGCTCTTTATCCCCAATTTTAAAAAAAAGTCATGAAATTACAAAATAATTCTATATTAAATGTAGTATTTCTGTGAATATAAAAAAACAGGAGGGATATGTGACATTACACAATGGTGATACAACCAATTAAACCTATTGAAATACCCTAATGTCTAGTGATAATAACATGTCAATAATTGACAATTGCTCTTGTTTTTGTTTAACCTTTGATTGACCCATTTCAGAGACTTGCCTGCTCCCCTCCAAGGTAACTAAGAGCTACGTTGTTGTAATGCCTTTTGAACTCTATTAATATTTACCTTCAGTAGTATCTTCTTCTGCAGTAGCATCAGCCATCTTTTCTTCCTCTTCATCATCATCACTTTCTTCTCCTCTCCTTCTTCTTCTTTTCTTCTTCACCTCTGTGACCATCCTCACATCAGCGCCAGGTAAGTAACGGACATCATAGTCTTTCCCTGTAGCTTGGTTCACATCAGGTTTGGTGATCAACTCTTTTATGTCATCAACTAATAACAAATAAGAATAATAATAATATATGATACATTGACTACTCTTAAAACTATCATTCTTAACAATACTGGAAATCTATTAACAAATGAATTCATGCTATCTTAAACAGTTTCTTTTATATTTCAATTATAACAAAATGCTGAAATAAACCAAGATGTTAGAAAGAGAAATAATGGTACAAGAACTTTTATCATATTATTGAGGATCATTTATAATGATAAATCAGAAAAGAACTGCTGTGGAAATGTTTCTTAAAATGAAAAAAGAGCAAACCATCAACGCTTACATTTATATCTCCTTTTAGAAGGATCCTCCTTATCATATCCTTCTAACTTTAAGCACTTTTTCAGTCTGATCAGCTCCTTGGGGGCATTCCTCTTTCGTTTGACTGCCTTCAGCTTACGTCTACTCTTGCTACGTAAACTTTTGGCCATGTTGTTCTAGAGGAAATCAAAGGAATAAATGAAAAATCATTATTTACGTTTCCCCTAATGGCCTGATTTCTTCTCCTATCCTAGAAGATCTGTCCTAAAACTTAGAGAAGTACATGTGAATATGTAATGGGCGTTAAAATAATTTATGTGACTGATGCTGAGTGTCACACGAAACGTGCAACTCGATAGAGTACATGCAACAAAAATCTTTACCAGTTTCAGATGAAGAAAAAAGCAGGTGGCAATTGCAATTTACAATGCAATGGTCTATTTCAAGCACTTTTGGTTTGTTGACAAACCAGGAGTTAGCTGAATTATTTTCCTTTTAGTTCAGAAGACACCGTAGCTCATTTTACATCTACCATAGCGCGTATGGAATTTATGCTAATTCTAGTTCAGAGCGACGTGTTTGCAGATGCCATGTTTCTTTCGTTAGGAAAGGATCCACAGGAGACGAAAGTCTTACTATGTTGTTTTAGTTAGCCAGGAAATGTCGCCATAGAAGTAAGTTTATCTTTAAAATATTATGCTTTTGATATGTGGTGATTTAAGAATGTGTTTTGGTCAGGTTGTTGAGGGAAAATGACATTACATAATAAATGTGTACCGAGTACGGTGTATAAATTGCCATGCACAAAACTGTATAGTGATAAGGTCTAGGTATGAGTTAATTTGGAAGTCTTATTGCTTTTAGAAATGACAATGCATAACTTACGGACGCGATGTTAAATATTGCTTCATTTATGTAGATATGTTTAAATACCATGTATTCAGGTGGTTTAATACATTATTTAACCTGGGGCTTATTGTTGGCCATTTAGAGTGATAGCTTACATGTAAGTGAGAAAGTTGAGTTAGTAAATAAATACATGAATGAACAAAACAGAGTAAGCTTATAATCCGTAAATGTTTGCTCCATAAATGGAAGTTTGTGAGTTATGATGTAAACAAAGGACTAGGGGTTTGATCTTACATTTGATTAACGAGACATTGTTTTGGTGACGTTTAGGTTAGTCTTTGTATTCAGCGGGGAAGTTTCCTTAGTCTTAGTGAGTTTGTTATAATGAGGTTACACTACACATTTCAAGGAGCTAAAGTAGTATTCTGACTTGATTTCAGTTTCAGAACAGAGCATAGAAACCACACTGTCAAAAAAGTTTAGATTTGTTTATCTGTTGATTCAATGATAGTATATGCCGAGCTTGAAGTGGATACAGTTAATTTGATGTAGGCATTTAGCTTTCATTAGCTTAGTTGATGTTTGGATATTTCAGTCTTCATTTATATGTGCAAAGATTCTTCTTCTTCTTCTTCTTCTTCCTCGGTAAATGCAACTTCATACAACGAAGACTACGCACTGCAGTGTGGTGTGTGCCATGTCCAAAATGTGTGTAGGCCTCAATCCAGGTGCAAAATATATGTACATGTATTTATGATCTTTTTGTGTCTCATTTGTATTCACAGATTGAATAAAATTGCAGCTTGATTTTCAAGCTCTACCTATGCAATTCAAAGCGGCATTCCTGGTTTTGATTCCTTAACTTCAGTGATCCAACTTTCATTTAACAACATCAGGAATCCTGAACTGCGTGTAATTTTAATATAAGGAGTTAGGCCTACATGTATTTTGCCACAAAATATCATGGGAATGACTTTACTTTGCTGATTTGGCAGCTAGAGCTCTTGTTAGGTGCCGATGCACTTTTGAACCTAAGGTACGCCGATTTAAGCAGGTTTTTTTTCTTTGGCGCTCAGCTGCGCGCTGCTCTGTGCAAAGTGTGATTGTGAAATGCATCATCACCTGATCAAGGAAGGAAGGAGCATCATCACAGAATTGCTGCATTGCCAACGTTAGACCGAAAGCTTCAGTCTCTATAATCGTCGGTTGTTCCACTGAGACTACGTCTGGCTCCACTAGACCTCCGGTTATAGAGACAGAACGACCGCCTATGCCAGCCTGTGTTGAACTTATTCCGCTAGATTTTAGCCGCTAGGCCCCTCCCACAAACTTGCCACGGCCGTATTGTTATGCCCCAAAATCCCCCAAAATGTCATTTTACCTCGTTCATTTCCAATTTTAAATTAGGCCTAGGCTATAATACATCGGTTCCACTTACTAACTTTATTGATATAATCCGTTTAATGGTCCCTTTTAAGGAAATTATCGGTCAAAATCGACATCCATGTTGAAAATCTTGCAAGCCGTGTTAAACTCTCGCTGCCGTCAATCTCATCCCTTCTAGTCTACGCCGAAGGCAAAATGATTATGAAGGAAAAACTGTGCGCCATCTACACGTTCGTAAAGGCGTTATCACAGTTTTTCCTTCATAATCATTTTGCCTTCGGCGTAGACTAGAAGGGATGAGATTGACGGCAGCGAGAGTTTAACACGGCTTGCAAGATTTTCAACATGGATGTCGATTTTGACCGATAATTTCCTTAAAAGGGACCATTAAACGGATTATATCAATAAAGTTAGTAAGTGGAACCGATGTATTATAGCCTAGGCCTAATTTAAAATTGGAAATGAACGAGGTAAAATGACATTTTGGGGGATTTTGGGGGCATAACAATACGGCCGTGGCAAGTTTGTGGGAGGGGCCTAGCGGCTAAAATCTAGCGGAATAAGTTCAACACAGGCTGGCATAGGCAGTCGTTCAGTCTCTATAACCGGAGGTCTAGTGGAGCCAGACGTAGTCTCAGTGGAACAACCGACGATTATAGAGACTGAAGCTTTCGGTCTATGCCAACGTGCGCATGTGATTAGAGGCTATTTGCAAAATTACTCTTTAAAATAACAAGAATAATATAAGATTAATCATCAAAGCAATAGGAACACATTTATGGATCAATTACTAATCGAATCTTCATTTTAAATTAAATGTTAATCATGCCAATGTGCAATGTGTGGCAAATGCACAACTACTGTGCCTACGCCTAGAACAATGATATGGGACCGAAGCATCATTCAGTACCGCATGTACCGTCTGTAAAAAACGCTCAAAATATCTGAAAGACAAATGCTAGGAAGACAATCAGCAGCAATTGGAATTTTAGGTAGGTTTAAATTGATCACAAAATCGTACATTGCTAATAAATTGAATGAATACACTTACTGGAAACTTGAAATATTTTGTAGAGAATCACGCCTTGCACGGTTAATTGTCACAGTTTTCGCACGTTGTCCACTGCACTTTTACGATATCATATGATGACGTCATTGTGATTACACAGACTAATCTCTTGCTTTACGACTAGACTACGTTTGTAGAATTTATTTAATTTTTCAATTTAGAAAAAAAAAAGGTTGTGTATCACAATATAGAAATGGTATGATCGTGATAAATTGCTCAATATAGGCCACAATTCTCTCATGAACTCATAACAGACCTATTTCTTCCAGCGTAGCCTACAAGAAAACAGAAAAGAAGCAAAATTAACATAACGAAATAGCTATGCTGGGAATTTTTTTTCATTGCTACTCTTCTTCTGTTGAAATACAGGCCACCATGTTGTTGGTGTACTCGAGGGAAATGTTAGTGTTACTTTTCAATATGCAAAGTCTGAAATGATATATAAGGGCTACATCGTGTAACAATGAAAAATAATATAGATATCATCATATTGGAATCCCATACAGGCGCGTACGCAGGATTTTTTCAAGGGGGGGGTTTTAACATTTATAAATCGGTCCGAAAATTTCGCAACGACTCAGCCAGCCGCTGAATAAGCGGGGGGGGGGGGGGGGGGGGGGGGGGGGGGTGGGGGGGGTAAGAGGACACATTTTTTTTTTTTTTTGGTCCCAAAAAAATCGCAACGACTCAGCCGACCGCTGAATAAGCGGGGGGGGGGGGGGGGGGGGGGGGGTAAGAGGACACTTTTTTTTTTTTTTTTTGGTCTCGAAATTTGGAAATTTGACATTTTGCACCGTTGGGGGGGGGTAAGGTCACCTTTTTTAGGTCGGCCATGGGAATAATTTTTTTTTTAATTTTTTTTTATAATAATTTAAAAAAAAAAATAAAAAAAAAAAAAAAAAAAATCCAAAAGGGGGGGGTTTTAGTTTTTTTTTAGGGGGGTTTACACACAAAAAATTTCCAAAGGGGGGGGGGGGGGGTTTTAACCCCCCAAACCCCCCCCCCCCTGCGTACGCGCCTGATCCCATATAGGCCCTATCAATTTTGCCATACAATCTAGTTTCCCCACCCCTTCCTGAAAACTCTGCTCATGCACCTCTCACATTTGCCCTTTCATCTCATTATTCATGCATTCCACTACCAAATCCATCACCTCAAGCTAATACACCTCAATGACCGCTGATCATGGTAAAGCTCAACAAAAACACCCTACATCAAAGTTGACCAAACACACTTGATTCCAAAAAATACCGGTACTCATTAACACAACGATAGGGGTAATTCTGTTAGGAATCTAATCCTCATTTTTAATCCATATAATCTCTACACACAATTATCTTCAGTAAAACATATCATTTGAACTGAGCAAAGCCATGGGAATTCATCTCAAGAGCAATATATTCCCTAGGAAGTGTATGATTTTAGGCCGCCTACATGCTGAATAATATTTCATTTAGAATTTTTTCCATACAGTGATTGTATAGAAAAATATTGGCAACAATAACATTTAGGGTTCATGGATGTTTGAAAGTGTTAAGGGAAATAAATATTCTTGATTTTTTCAGTAGAGAGCAAATGGGAGCTAGGGGAGCTCACAAGATACATCACAGAGTTAATACCACTTTGTATTTGATTGATTGAAACTTAAAAAATTCAGAACTCTCTTATTTTCAATCAGAATTTGCTCCAACTTTCACGGACCCATTCCCCTGTATTTCTGCTTCTATAACTTAATTTCAGAGCGGACTTCCCCTTGACTAGAAGGAGTCTGGTCTTATACCAACTATATGATGATGAATGATTCTGTGCAGCGCTTTGTAACTGCAAGGAAAAGGCGCTATAAATATCTTTTGGAATGGGATGGAATACATTGATGCCAGAAAATTTTGCTTAAGGCTGATTAGCATAAATGGTTATAAGCTCCACACAATCTCTACGAAGACTGATTTTTTGTTATTGTTATCGCTTTTGTTATTATATATACTGGTACCAAATTGTTGATAAGTGACAAGCAATTATTACTACAAATGAAATTATGGGATTGCATATATATAAACATTACAGTCTCAAACATTTCCATGTGAAATTCACTGTGTCTTTAGCACATATAATTCAGATTTGAGGATGAAAACAAATAACATTTAGATTAGACTGCATGTTATGAATGCAGTACTTGATTAGTAATAACAATGCTATGTGCAATCTCAATCATACAATTAAAAATATTTTGCATCATACATCGTAGCTATGAGAGCTCATATAGTCATATACAACATCTGTATGTTGCCTGTATAAGCCTAACTTTCTGCACACATGTATGAACCTCGCACACTTACATACAGTACTCTGTCTATACAGGATTTCATGGTTTTATCTACAAATATAGAGCTTTTAAAAATAACACTTGCAACTTATTTCATAATATGGCAGTACATGTGTTTAGGATCTAGTACTGTTTGACATATAACTCATTGGCCCGTATTCACAAAAGAGGTTTGTCGACAAACCAAGGTTTTCGTACGTCATATGACGCGTTTTTACGCGTTTTTTACAAACCTGGTTTGTAAAAACGCGTCGATATACGTGTCATATGACGCACGAAAACCAAGGTTTGTCGACAAACCTCCTTTGTGAATTCGGGCCAATATCTACACACATCATCATATGTAACACTGATTTGTTCATTTGTTGAAATGTTACACGCAGTTCCTTCATAAGTTAATACATAATGAGAGTTCTCTGCATCCAGAATAAATGACATTAAAGATATTTTTTGCATTAGAAAGGACTTTTATGGGCACAAATAAAATAAAAAAGTGACCACTACACTACAACTACTGAAATAATAATAATGAATAAACAAATTTTATCATTTACTTCACGTCACTCACCCTGTACAAACTTCACCGTCACAAAAATGATGGCAACAGAAATAAAAAGTGAATACATCTGTATTACCACATTCTTCCTGTAACTAGATCCACAGACCCAAAATGTGCAGGAGAAAGTTTGATGAGCTTATTATTGAAAGAAACTTATGATAGCATTTTACTTTTGTATGGCCTAGGTATCAATTGAATGGACAATGAATTTTGAAGAAAAAAAATCACTTTAAAAGTTACAACTTAAATGAGGACAAGATAAGTACACATTACACCTATTCTAAATCTGTGTTATTTCATGTATTAAAGTAAAAAGTATGTTTCTTGTCATAACAAGTTTAAAATGGGCAGGATCAAGATAGTTATCATTAGTTATTAAGCAGAAGGTCTATATTTATTGTACCGGTACACATACACTGACAGCTTAATAAATAGTAATAAATTAACTAAACTTTAATATATACATGTATGCAAATGAGATAAAATCAGCTATACAGAAAAAGATACACCTTTATCTTTCATTCCCTGATGGCTACAATGAGACACAAAGCTAAATCAACACATTTGTACAAATTCATTCTCAAAAGTACTGAGATAAGTATATATTAAAACAAACAAAAAATCTAAAATATACAACAACAGCACCAAATATACATGCGTTAATTTAAACTAATTTATTTTAGTTATTTCAACATGAAGACATGGGAAAGACTGACAAGGGAAAGACTTGCCACTAATGGAATTATTTGGTTGATGGCAATGGCAGCAATATTTTTTGTAGAACATCTACATCTCTCAACACAATTATCACCACAGTCCTCTTAATTTCACAATACATCACAACTTGAGGATAAGATAAGAACATTGCTGAATCGTAACACAAAAGGAATTACTTTATGAAATTACATTTTGAGGTGTTCATTTAAAAGAAGTGTACAGTACTGGTTAAAATTATTTGTTTGACTGATTAATGACTATTGAAAAAGATCAAAGATCAGATCAGACATCCCACATTTTCAGGATTTTTTCTCTCCAGAATGCGGGATTGTCGGAAACTTGGCGGGTATGTGTATGCATGTATATAGCATATTACATTGATTATAGATAGAGGTATGAATTTATGAATACATTATTAGGTTTGTGCTTGCTTTGATAAGAGTAATGTACTAGTATACCTGCTCACATGGGTACATCTTTAACAGGTTACATAAAATAGGAGATTAGTCATCACATTGGGTAGTGACTGTCTACAGTGCCTTTGTACACCATCAAAACTTCTGTCTCTAAAAATTCAATTTTCTTTAAAGGACCAAATTTATGGAATGAGTTACCTCCTAATGTTAAAGCAAGCCCAACTCTAAATACATTTAAAAAGAGATACAAACAATTACGTTTTTGTGAATAGAATTTTATTAGTTTTTATATATATGCAATCAGGTGTTAGATGTTAGGTGTTGGGTGTAAGGTGTTGTTGTAGGTTAAAATTCGTTATTATGTTGCTAGGGACCAGCACCACACAAGACTTAATTGTTCTTTCTAGCTGGTTCCTCATTCGTATATATATTTGTATTTTATGTTTATCTTTTGTTATGTTATTTGTCTGTTCTTTACTTCTCTGTAAATATCAATGTTATAATCATGTATGTTTTTATATGACGAATAAAAATTAATTTAAAAAAAAATGACCATACTACAATGTTGAGCAATGTTTGTGTGTTGCAACAGGTATCAATTGTTCTGGGGCAAGTAATGTACCTTCTGTATGCTTGCAAACATAACACAAACCAATCTAAATTTCCTCTGGTTTATGCGTTGAGGTGCACCATTAGGAAACTTCTGGAACCAATTTTTATTTTTAAAGGGGGTTTTAAGTCTGAATGTCTTCCTTTAAAAGCTGTGGACATACATTTCAAAGGTTTCATTTAAATTCTCCACATACAATCAGGTTGAATTTGCTTCCGATTTACTAGGTGAAGAAGACCCACTGCTTTACACAAGTACAAGTGTGTAAAGACAGAAATCGAACCCGAAGCTTGATTCAAAACAAGAGTAGGTAAAAAGGATAATTATAAAACAGGGTGCTGCATGGGGCAATATTTTGGAATTTTAAGCAATTTATTCAAATGTTGCAGCTACGTTGCTGTAAACAAATATATCAACCAACAAATTCAGCATTTTCTAAGTAATGGCATAAGGGGAATCCTGAATTTGGAGGTGAATATAAAATTATGTTGAATTGAACAATGAAATAGATGCAATATATATTACATAAAACTAAGGGTATTTGCAATCTCATGCCTTGCTTCCTTGGATTCCATTCTGGTTGCCTTTGGTTCATATATGTATGTACACATCTAAGACAATACAAACAATGGGGACACACTCTAATTCACTTTGTACATGTTCTAGATTGCAACAAAGGTTGTTATTAATATTGCATGCTTGTGCACATCAATGTACATGTATAACATACTGTTTAGAGTCACAAGACACATCAGCCAATAGGATATTCGCTAACATTAAAGCCTTATTTCATATAATGGGAATATTGGAATGATCAAATTTCTGAATTTGATTTTTTCTAGAGTGTTAGAAGAAAGAAAAATTCTACCACAAATGCATATGTATTGCCACAAGAGAGAGATTGTGGCAGCACAGACACATAGCAATAGTGTGTTCTAATCTGAATACATAATAATTACAAGTCTCTTCATCAATTTCAAAATATTTGAAAGTACACAAATGGAATATAACATGGAGGACATTTTCAAAAATACTTTTTATGTGTTACGGACATAATACACTCATACCATGTCTGGTTCTACTTGCGAGTTGTCTCTTGAGATCATTACTTGAGATAGGATGCCAGATGTAGTGAGGATTGTTGAGTTCTCTATCTACTTCTGTCATGGTAAGAAGATTGAGACATACACCATCGGCTGAACCATGAGGGCTCCCTACATGCTCTATACATACAATATAATGAGAGCCGTACATGTTCTTCCCTTTGAATGCCTCCTGGAGATAAAAGATGGAGTAGAATATGAGTCAGTTAGGTGTCTTCAAGTTTCATAGGCAATACACAATAATGGTGATTACTGTGTGCTTTTAATCATTGGAAAGATAAGTGTCAATCCCTAGCAAACCATTTACAGGGTTGTGAATGTACATTAGTCCAAAGCAGGATCAACAGCCTAAAATTCTAGCATTAAGGTAAAGTATTTCTTATGAAAATGAAATTCACAAGAATTATATTTTCTTTCCTCTCTTTGAGCTGGGAGCATTTGGTACACCAGCTAATCCAGAGGCTTGATCAATAATTTGTATTATGAATATGTACAAAGATGACAAAACTCTCTCAAAGCCGATGGCTGGTATACATGTATATCACTCTGTAATAGTAGTGTACATAAACAAACATCACACAGAGTGATAATCACTTTTAGGCCTCTATCCCTCTATCATATCTTACCTTTTCTAGTCTATGTAACGAATCCTCTGCCTGCCATCCATCTCTGATAATAGGAAAATGAAGTGAATCCTGAGTGCAGAGTAGTACATCAAAAGAATTCCTAGATAAAAAAAATAAACACACATAACACATTTTACTGGCATCTCATTGTAAAAATTATTAAATCCTTGAAAATTTAGCAAATTATAACTTTCTCATTCCCAAATCCAGAAAACAGCCTGGCTTAAAATGCCTTAAATCCGCTGTCCCACGCATATGGAACAAACTCTCTGCATTTCTGAGAAAGAGCACTCCACTTGACTTCATCTGAATTCTGAAAACATACCTCAAAAAAGATCTCGGTGACCTTGCACCTATTATTACATTCAAACTAAAGTATAATCAAGTTTGTAGTTTATCGTTCCCAATGATTCTTGAGATATCACAATAAAAAATGATGGGAAGGATAGACAAAAACTAAAAAATCAGTGACAGACTCCGACCCCCCCCCCCCCCCTCCCCCACTACATGAACGGAGGGATACCATGCCTGTTACCAAAATGTCCGGTAAAGGGGTACTTTTCATGCACCAAAGTCCGGCTCGTAGTACACAAAAATCCGGCCCGTATTGACTTTACATACCGGACTTAGGGGGTGTTTTCAAAAGGAGGGAACATGCATATGAACCCTAAATAACACTGAGTGGGGGGGGGGGCGGGGACTGACCACACACAAATTATATATAAAGGAAAACAAAACTGAATTAAATTTTTTTAAATAAAACAAAAAATTACCAGCTTTTGACAGGAACAATGTCAACAAGCTGTGAGATAGCTTATGGTGCTTGCTTTAATAACAACAAATAAATCTAGATCTTGTTATTTGGGGCCAGTCATTTTTAGCCATGCAAAGCCTCATTTTAACACAATAGAGAGCTTTACTAGCATTAACTCATTGCCTACATGAACCACATTATACCTGTACTTAGCCTATCATCATTTGACTATTTAGTAGTCAAGAGGTTAAAACTTATTTTTAGTTGCAACTGATTTAGACGACTCGGTAGCTAAAGCAAATTACTGCACAATAGAAGGATTCACAATGGATACCCATGAGTAATTATCACCCTTAACAAAAGATCTCCGAGATAGACACCATCATGGTTCAAATATAGGCCATTCTTATCAAGGAATGCATAACCAATCAAACAATGATTGATGATTTAGCAATTTGTGCATTTAGATATCAAAGAATTCCTTGTTATGGTGTGTGAGATTATAGTCAAGCAAGTATGAATAATAAATCCACAAAGAAATTATAATACTTTCTTATTTCATCTTGAACATTATGACTATGGCCCATTTCACTTGATGTAACATGGGTGTCATGGGGTGTAATCAGTCTTAACTGAGAGGGTGAATTATGAGAGAACAAAGCTGTCTTCTCTCCTCTTCCCCCCCCCCCTCTCTCTCTCTCTCTCTCTCTTCTTTTTTCCATTAGAATTGGGGGGGGGGGGGAGGTGGGGGTGGTATACTTACTGTTTCTGTCTAACAAGCATGATCCTCATACACATATGTTTATGAGGATTGAGTGCTGGCATGATGCATGGATGTCTCTCTGTAGGTGAACTTTGGTAATACATCTGGGTAAGTTCAATGACTGGTAGGATATCTCTTGCTCTGTAGCATGACAAACAAAGAATAAAAACATGTCAACATTCATCTATCTCATGCCCTGCAAAACACATTAGCAATAGAGACATGTAAACATGCAGAATTTCAGTCATTCTTTGTAATTTTTTCTTTGAAATCGACATCACAAAGAAAGAAATCTGACACATCAATTTGATAGAAAGAGCTAGAATATTGCTAAATATTTTAACCCCCTCCATTCGTTATCGGTTCCATTAGTTATGTAACAAAGCTGTAACATTTTTAACACCTATATTTATTAGATACTGATGTCAAACTGACCTTAATCTCAGGTTAGCGATATCATTCATAGAGCACCATCTTGCTTGAAGTGATTCTGAATCAGCTTCTTTCTCAGTCTTCAGAGTTCCTCCTAATATGATAAAAAAACAAAAATACAACCAAAATACTTGACCTGCAAACGGCGTATTATGCTCATATTAGATGTCTCAAGATCATTTTCTAAACTGGATGAATTACTACTGTGATAGACTCTATACCATAACAAAGGTGTTTGAGTTTGAGTTTGAGTTTATTAACAACAAAAATAATAACAAGTAAAACATAATGTATCAATCAAGCATGATTACATAAAATATAACAATATGACACAAGATCGATAACATAACACATGAATAATATAAATATTGTTTTACAAAGTATGTCGTATATAAATGGAATAAAATATTATACATACACTTTTGTTGTTAAAGGGAGTACCAGAAGTTAGCACAAGTGCTAGTCGAGTCTGGTTCCCTGTCTTTGGCAAGAATTTTAAAACGTTTTTTTTTTACTACCGGGTATACTACATTATATACATGTAACATAAACTATATAAGTAAACAAAGAAATAGAATAGTCATTTAGAAATATTCCTTACTTAATATACATGGAAGTTAAACGTGTGTCGACTTCCATATCAAAACCAAACATACAGTAAAATAAAAAATATATCATTATCTAGTGATATTTTTAGAAATTCTCTAATCTGAAATTTCTTTTTGCCATTTTAAGAAGTCTTAACTTTTGTTTAACTCAAAGTATTTAGATGTTTCGTTAACCCCTTCCGAAAAGCATTTTTAGATCGTATTCCTCTTAAATTGTATGGTATACTATTCCATATTTTCACGCCCATAAATGATATTGAAAATTGACCTTGTGTGGTTTTGCATTTAGGCAGATATAGTTGTCCTTGTTCTTTGCCCCTTGTGCCATATCTGTGCTCTATTACCTGACAGTATTCAATTAAGGAGTGAGGAAGATTGCCATTTAATAAGTCATAGATGAAGGTTGAGACAGATATGAAATGAAGGTTGTAAATATTTAACATTTTTATCTTTTGGAACAAGGGTTCCGAACAGGTACCTCTTGGGCTAAAAGTTATCGCTCTCATTGCCATTTTCTGGGTAAGGAAAATACAATTCAAATTGGTTTTGTATGTGGTTCCCCATACTTCAATTCCATACAAAATATGTGGCTGGATTATCGCTTTGTATAATAGCACTAAAATGTTCTGTGGGACATAATGCCTTACTCTGAACAAAATTCCGACTTTTGAACAAATATTTCGATTTACCATTTTTATTGATAATTAAGAAGTCGCTTGCCTCTCAATTATTATAACTTCTTATTGTTGTACACACGTACGTACAGATGTACGTACGGACGGACGGACAACCCGAAAACATAATGCCTCCGGCTACTTCGTAACGGAGGCATAAAAACTAGTCTTCAAATTACACCGAGTCTAGCCTATGATCTTTAAGAACTAGTCCATAGCAATGAAAGATAGCATACTTCACCAGTTGATGATGCATATTAAACTGGTACATGTATGATCAAATTTATCTCAAACATACTGTAGCCTTCAAAGATTTTTAAGTTTAAAAGTCTCTCTTACTTTCAAAGCTCTGTGTATTTTCAGTCAGTTATCTAGTGTAACAATATCAAAAACTTACCAATGATATTGCCAGTAAAAGTAAATCTTATCCAGTAGCCTGCAAGCAACGAACTCTCCACTTTTACAATATTAGTTGGCTCAAAATCAAATCCTGCTTCTTCCTTTACTTCTCTCTTCACTCCCATCTACAAAGAAACACAAAAGACTTGGATGAGACAGGGAAATTCCCCGAAAGGAGGAAGATTAAATTGGGTTCCGGGGGGCAAAGGGGACCTTCGAAAAATGAGAATTTTTTTCTTGCATTTTAATTCTAAATTTGAGAAATATTTGTTACCCCATCTCGCTTAGAGACTATAATATTGTTCAGATAAGAGATTTGTTTAAACAATTATTATTATCATTATTATCCCCCCCCCCCCCCCCCCGGTCTTGAAATCATCTGCAGTCTAAATAATGAGCCTTGGATATTATTCTATAAATTAAAATTAATCATACATTTAGTTTCTCCAATGAAAGGAAATGAAAATCAATCTACTTATCATAAAGCTATTTGATATCAGATGTAGTCAAGCTAATATCAATTACACAACTACATGTATACAAATGTAAAATGTTAAATTTGTATAAAAATATTCATATGTACCTGGGCTACATTTGTCTCTTATGCAATCTGCATCTATTATCTAGGCTACATGATAATGTAGTAAAAACAACTTGGATGATGATCTCTTGATTAAATTCCAACTACATGTAGGTTCAATCTACAATTTGCCATCATACCATAAATGCAAGAATGTTTAACTTCTATAATACAGTGGAATGGCCACAGAGTAGTCACAGTTCAGTAGCTTGAAACTCAATCTTGCAAAAAGGGTCACAAACGCATTGTTTATACTTGCCATGACGGCCATGGCCATTCATGCATTATAATAATTTGGTTTCCTTTGAAATTTCCCCACCATACACGTTGACAAACATGAGGACCTCTGTTTATACTTTATATCTCTTTCTTTGACTTATCATATTTCACAGAAAATGTAGCTCAATATATGTCACGTATTGGCATCATTAACCTTCATATTTATGATCAAGGGTCAAGTAGGGTATCCAATACAATCAGGAAAAACAAATTACATAAAGTGGAGTCTGTGGAGAGCAAATATATGACTTTATAAATCTCATAAAGTGCTCTGGGAAAGAAAAAAAATCTTGTATTTTCTCTAAAGATCTAAAGAGAGGTTTTATAAACCAAAGATGTAATTTGTAGTAAGTCCTGTGGTTGATTACCTCCAAGGTTTCCTCTTTCTCCAGCCTTCCAGCAGGAAGATACCACTTCCCTCTACAGGACTCCTTAGCTTCTTGAATGAGTACAATGCGTCCTTCATCATCCAGTATCACAGCAGCAACAATGATGATAGTATTATACCCAAGTACTGTAGGCTTGGCATTGTCACAAGACTTGCGGCATATATCGTACCTAATAAAACAGACAATAATTTGAAATAGTTATTAGCATTCAGTTTTAGGCAACCAACTTTAATACATACTGTACATGTATATCCTCACATTTTGTTTTTTGGCTGACTACCTCAACAAACTTTGGACATAAAATTTGCAGCCAACAAATTCTGTAGAACTTCGCAGGAATATGTCACGTATGTACTATCTGTGAAATTTAGATGTTAGCAGTGTCTTAGTATTCAAATTATGCAAGGAAAACTGTTTACTTTCTAGACTTCACTGTCCGACACTATTGAGTGACTGACTGACTTCTTTGGTAATAAACTATAACATACATAACATGAGCTGTTAAGGGTACATGAGCATTTGTCTACATCAATAGCCCACATCTCGTAATTGGCAAAATTAAACTGATTAAATACAATCCCTAAATTTGATTCCACAACTAACGGTTGTTATTTTCTTACAAAAAGACATTTTCAAGCCCGTTCGTTTTGAGAGAAGTTCTAAATTACTATTATCTTTCAAATTTTATGTAATTTTTTTTTCTTCATACATTAGATGTTAAAATGATTTACTCAGTAAATCTTTATTAAGAATTTATGAAGTGTTTAATACATGTACATGAACTTACATGTAAATGTAATTATATATCCTGGAAATAATTGATTCCCGACTACTGACACATTTTATTTACAAATTTGCTATTGATGATGTACTGTAGCACTCTCTTAAAGATCAAACCTGAACAGCTTAATTTTGATGGAAATCATAGCTTGCATCAGTTGACACGAGATATACTCATGCGTATTCTACTAAAAATAGAAAATGAAAATAATGGCCTAACTGCCGAAATCAAATCTGGAATTGGTTTTCTAACATGATGGCCTATCAACTTCAGAATGTATTATTATTTTACTCTTTGCAAATCATCACAAAAATAAAATACTATTAAATTCAGTGTTTGGAGATTATTCATCAAAATATACCGAGTGCAAAATACTGTAACCTCTTGATGACTTGTGTAGGTAGAACAAAGAAGACTGAAAGCTGTATATTCCCCCTTACAAAGAAAAACCACAGATTCACCCAGTGCCATGTATTTGTTCAGTCACGGCAATGGTATTCAAATCACAAACCATACAATTCAGTTTCTTTTTAATTGATATGTTGATGAAAAGAAAACAATCATTATTTCCATCTCAAGGCGTGCTAATAAATGACAATACATGTATATATGTTAATTACAAAAACTTTTCATAAGCCAAATTGTACTTGATCATCACATATTCAAAGTACATTTAACAAGCCTCATCTGTAAAGTTAATCACAGCACTTGAATTTTGCAACTTTAAAGAATGAAACAAAAGAAAGTTACACCCAGTTTCTGCATACATCCCAATTCATATGACCTCTTTCATTTATATTTAAAGATAAACTCCAGTACTGGTTAAAAAAAAAATTTAAAAAAAATTCTCACAGAATCAAACGAAACTTACACTGAATGTTCAAGATTACAAATAAATGACATGTGCCAAACAATTTTGGAAGAAAATGTATACTGGCTGAGTAATGAGCATAGAAAGACAAGGAAATCAAGGTAGTACTAGCCCCGACATCATGTGTGTTGTCCCATATATAGCTTTCTATGTGAGTGCTTGTTACTTTACCAAGACTCGGTCAAAATTATTATGATTTTGATGACTCCAGAACCTTGCAGTGCACAGTAATACTTACATGCTACATGATCAACTGTTTCTGATCCTTTCCACACCTTTTCTTTCACAATGCAATCGCATTACCAGTACTAAAGTTTATCTTTAACTTTAAAAAAATTGAGTTATAACTACCATAAAACAAATTTTACTCCTGGATAAACACATCTGATAAATGGGTTCCTACAGAAAAAACCACAATGGCATTCCAGTGTAATGTTATTGTCTAATATTTTAGCCTTGGATATAAGCACTTTCAATAAAATTGCCTTAAATTACCATTAAATCAAATTGGCCTTGGGAAAGGAAATTCACTATTTGGTCCTAATGATGAAGTCAGTGACATAGTTAGATCCAGTAGAGTGAGGGTGTGGGAATTTGGCATCATGTTCTTCACTTTTCCCTCTTTCTTTCTTTCTATTTTTCTTTTGTCATTTGACTTCAGGGGACACATGTCACCCATAGACCCCTCCCGACAAAAAATTCATGATGAAGTCTATCAAAACTGTGCATGACACACATAAATTTATAGCTATATAATGCAATAAAACAACAACAAAGTATCTAATGCTTTGTTAATCACTGTTACAAGTAGATAGTAGGCCTACTTAATAGCGTGCTTTCAAAACAGGAACGACTTCTCTGGCAAGACCATGTTTGACTTTGGTCCAAACTGAGTGATTTCTGAGGGCCCTGGTGAGAATCCTACACACACATTTAAAGCAAACTTCAACTGACCTGTCAAGAGGAATATCTGGGGCTTTTCCAGCAAGCAGATCTCCGATAGCACTATCAATATCAGTCATATTAATAGTGACACACGGCAAGTTTAGATGTTAATAGCCAAGTCTCTCTCATTCCTTCATGTATCCAATCATTCCAGTCTGATATAAAGCTCCTGTGGATGAAAGAAAACAGACAGGAAATGGATTACGGTAATGTTGGATAAGAGAACCTGTCATGTTAACATTTGTTTGATGCCAACCTAACCGGTCATAATAATAATAATAATAATAGCTATTTCTTATATGATCAAGCAAATGTCAGTTCGAGTTCCAATTATCCAATTCCAATAAAATTATATATCACACACATACAAGTCATTCATTTACAATCTGAAAAACAGAAATACAGAGTAGATGCAAATAATTACTCATGGAATAAAGGGTACCATAACAGATTAAGGCAGTCTGGTCAAGAAGGTCCCCTTTATGTAGTAAAGTACAAAGTCCTTGAATGCAAGAGGTGAGGATATCTAAACATTTATACTCTTTTCACACTGGTTTTGCTTAACCCTGTACTTTGCTTAGCCCCGTACTATCCTTAACCCCGGACTATTTTTTTTTGGCTTTTCACACACGCTGTTTTTAGGCCCGTATTAGCGCCTATTCCGGAATAAGAAAATTCATGCTGTTCTCACTGTAATTCCTTAACCCCGGATATCGTGAATGTTATGATTGGACATACATGTACTTCGCATCTGGTCAGCTGCGATTTCTTCGCCTATTTTTCGTTTCTGTTCTCATTCATTTGCTTGGCACCGCAATTGCGGGGTTAGCAGGAGTTAGCACCACAAATGCTGGGTTAGCCCTGCTATTTTGCAGGGTTAGTTAGCCCACTTGGGTAAATACGAGTGTGAACAGAAAGTGGAATAGGCTTAACCCCGGACTATAGGTGGAGCTAAGACCCCCCCCCCCCTTAACCCCACCTGTAGTACAGGGTTAAGCAAAATTTTGCCAGTGTGAAAACAGTATTAGTTACGCATGCAAAACAAAAAACATGAAAAAGTCTCAATAAAACACAAAACAATATATAAGAAGAAGAAAGAACAGACAACCCTGAAAAAAGTTACTTTTTAGTTACTTTTAACTTTTAAAAGTCCAGAAAATAAGAGAAATTCCTTTAATTTCCTCTTCAACCTATTATTGACTAAAACTGACAACAGACCTGAAATGTGAATAAAAGGGTTAAAGCCTGCGTTTGAGAAGCTTCCATAATCCATAGATTTAGGGCCTAGAATAATAATACAGAACTTATACTACTAATGATTTTAAGCGCTGTACTTTCAATCCAATTTTAGTTTAAACCACTCTGCACATACATGTAGGTAAATCATGGATGACTTGAGATATCAATATCATATTTCATATTATCACCAAGTCCTCAACAAGGCTATTAGTACTAGTATAGGGATAGACCGAAGGCTTTTGTCTCTGAAGTCTGGTATTGACGGTTGTTCCGCTGAGACTGTGTCTGGCTCGATCAGGTGACCATCTCTATTCAAAGACTTATTAGCTAAAAGTAAGTCCTTATATTTTGATGTTTTATGTTGTATGGTTTTCAATTTATATTGTAATTTTGAAAATTGGATCTACTTTCTTTCCAATCATCATTTTTCCAAATCAAACTGTTATTAAATCTAGATAATAAAAAAAAAACCGAGGGCAAACTTTTCACAGGATTTCGGCCCCAATCAGCTAATTAATCCCCACCCCCCTTGTGCATGTGCACCAAGGCCGGGTTACCACCATCGGCCCTGGTCCGGAGAAGGTCGACCAATGTCAGTTTTAAAAATTCCCCACACCATGACCATGAATGATGGCAATATCAGTATATCTACATAGACCTCTATAATCACCTAGCCCTGGCTTAACGCTACCCATACCAGAGGGATAGCTTCACCCCCTCCTCCCCTGGTCCCCGATCGATGCATCCCCCATGCCATGCCCATAGGCCATAGTTAGCCATGATCCCATTTAACATGTTAAATCCTTGATTGGGTAAGTCAACGTAAGATTGACACTGAATTGACTGCACAGTGCAGTGGTCACTGTTTATCAACCGCAGTGATTGACTAGAAACTTACCGCTAATTTTTATATTTTTACGCGGTACTTCCACAATGTTTCCCCAAAATAGGATGATGTCTGGCAGAGCACTGATTCCTGATAGACCTTGATTAGACAAGCTAGATAGATCTACAAAACAACAAAATCTGAATGTCAGGAGTCAGACAGGACCACTCCAGCAAAGCATAGAGAGTCCATGCTAATGCGTATGGACCTCTAGCACTGCATGTATGTGGTATGCACGGGGTGGATTTTTTCCACTTTTAATATCATAAAATGTAAGACAAATACAACATAACATAGGTTATGTTATATTTGTCTTACATTTTACAACAGTTAAGTATGTTAATTAAATGTTAGTATAGAAATAAAAAAATGTAAACTCACTTTTAAAGCACTTTTTTCTCCTTCTGATACAGACACGGGTCAATGATGCCCTCCTCTTGCTTGCAATAACATCAAAATTGCGCACTTTGCGGACACCACACTGAAACGCGATCTAAAGCTCTTACGCAATATCTGACGAGTAGCTGTCTTATCTCGCAGACGTTTTCATTTATTGCTTTATCGCAGGTTCAAAGCACCTAGGCCTCTTATTCCGTACCAGAACAAATTTAAACAGCGCCATCTTTTGGTAGAAAATTTCACATGTTAATGACAACGAAGAGTGGGCGAGTGTTTTAGTGGGAGAGCACATCAATTAATAATTTACCAAATAACCAACCTCTTACTGAACACACCCACACACATAAAAAAATCGTTTACATACAAGTTTCGGAAAAGATGAAAAAAGATAAAGCATTAGACCCTTGGTTTCTCCAGTAGATTTATATATTCATAATATGTTTTATACATTACAAATATTTATTTTTTTTCTTCATATTTTTGTAGCGAATAGTGAACGTGCTGTTATAGTTGACAATATGTAAAATAGTCTAGAGTTGTGCATAAGTTTTTGTTGTTGATTTTCAGTTGCTGATGAAATCTTGCGTTCAATTCATTATGTGTTTGCTGCCAACGAACCTTTCTGTAGTAAGATGCATACATGTTTTTTTTTCTTTCTTTCAATGTTTTAGTTGTAAAAAGTTGTAGAAATGATTGTCCGTTACAACCATGTTACCATCATATTGAATTGATGCCAGGAGTAGGCGAACAGACAACAAAATAACACGTCGTTCATAACGTTAAAGTTCTGATTATTTTATGCACCATTATGTCGGATCGTACAGTAAAGCAACGTAATACAAAGTCTTGGGAAATTTTGAAAATTGGGTGGATAGGGAATCTTTACAATTTTGTTATATTTGGATGCCCCTGTGGATGTATTATAAGCACTAAAAAAAATTAGCCCCTAAAACACTTCTGATTTTGAGAAAAATTGAATATAAAAATTTACCGGTGCTCCCGGTAAATTTTGATAAATTTGAAATAGCGCCTATGGCCGTACAATATTAGCTGCGACCATGAAAATCTCAGAATATGTAGTTGTGATATATAATTTCCAAGCGGGAATAGCTAATCGGTCGATTTTAGTCAAGAAACATTGTTTCATAGCTAAATTAATATCTTGACCTTGAGAGGGAGCTATACAACATAAAGAGTTTATTATTTATAATTTCATAACTTTAGACTCGATTTTAACCGCGACAACGATTAATGAATATTGTAAGAACGCATATGCTTCAAATATGTTAATTTGAACCAAATTCATGACCCCATACCAAAACTTTGTAATACCTTTAACAGTCGAGAGTCGTGATGAGAAGTGGGTATATATGAGAATTGTAAGAGAGATGAAATATCGATGGGCAATACTAACAACAAAGAGGCATTCGCCTAATTATATCCATGCCGGACCAAAAGGCAGACCGCATTATGTTTATATCACGACCTAGCCAAGTACTAGTAGGGACTTTTAGATTGAGTGGACGAGAACACGACGAACGCCGACTGATCATGCGTGTTGACGTACTCAACTGCCCATGTTGACTACAATTAGAAATATTTTAGATTGCTTTCGACGATATACATGCATGCAGGAAGTAACACTATGAACATAACAGACAAAGAAAGAGGACAAAATATACAGTTCCTCATTCTACCCTCAACAATAGGCCATTTTCGTAATGTAACCAAATTTAATGCGTAGGTCTTTGTGAAGTGCACAATACAAATTATTTCATTCACCTGATAGGAATAATAGTATTTCAATAGTCAGAATGCAACTGCATATATTAAGTGTTGCTAGGTAGGTCAAGCCATAATGTTTGTCAAACCTGGCAACAATGATGTATGCAGTTAGGATTCTGTCTATTGAAATACTATTATTATCAGGTGAATGAAATAGTTTGTATTGAGGCACTTCACAAAGACCTATGCATTCAATTTGGTTACATTACGAAAATGGCATATTGCTGTGGTAGAACATCCCTTCACTGCTATTATGTAAAAATGTGTTTAACAGGTGAATAGCAGGGAAGGGATGTTCCTTTGTCTACCTGGGGAACTGTATATTGTATGCGCACGCGGCATATATACTAGTACCGTACTAGATTTAGGAAAATCAAGGTTGACGCATTCTCGATCGCTGACTGAGACGACGTGACGCATGCGCAGTGCCTTAAAATGACGTCACACGTTGCAGTCAAAGCTGTCAACGTGCAAATATAAAAGTCCCTATTATCACGTTTATGACGACGGCTTGGGTGGGTCGGTGATAAAAATAACGAGTTGAAGGCCTTGTGGTCAGATGTTTCGTATCAGGACAATTACCCCTATAGGATGATTACCACCAACCTTAAAAATTACCCCTAGGACAACCACCACGTTGCGAAATTTTCAGCCCGATTTCAAAATGTTAACCCCCCCCCCCCCCTTGAAAAAATCATGCGTACGCCACTGCCCGTGTCTATAAAGCTATATCAGATTATAACAAATGTACGTTTTCAATATTTTCAATATTTTTTTGTCTTCATTCTTTTAAATACGTGGTTATTATCTATTCTTTATTTTATTTTCATTTTGTTAAATGTATTTTCTAATAAAATTGAAAATTCCTTTAACACATTTTTTGTATATGATCCAAGGATAATTCTTGAATGATTAGTTATTTCATGAGGATACCAATTAATTTGTATTTTACCTGTTTATATGCTTGTGTATTTATCTATTTTGTTTTTGCTGCTGTTATTTTTTTTTATTTTTACCAAACAGGGCTTCATGGAAGACCATCAAATTGGTAATAATGTGCGACGTACCCATTATCAGAAATAAATAAATACAACCACTAAAACTTTACACTCTTTGTTTGTCTATATAGAATCAAGTTTCTTTCCTCGGAATATTTATCATGGAGAAATTATGGAGATAGTCCATAAAATAAAGTAATGGGAAATGAAAAGTCGCTATCGTACTTATTTTATTCATATATACTATTAAATGATTTACGTGTTCTTTTATTACCGGGTGGGCAAAAAAATAATAATCTAGAAATCAGAGATAAATTCTTTCCGAAACGTCATAACCGTAATGAAAAATGATGACAAAATGTATGGTGAAAATAATAGTCTTTATGTTACAGTTTAGAATAATGCTAGCCATACACGTCACGAATTGTTCATTTCAAGAAGACTTATTGTTGAAGTTAATAAAAGCATTATGCATGTTCATGAGAGCTTTTACAGTCCGATGTACATGATTGTAAAGCAAATTATTGAACATTATACTCTCCTTATCTCAGAAATAATGACGCTTGACAAAGGGATTTGCCCAGGGGTCTCGGTCAAATATAAATTGATGGCTGCATTCGCATGCGTAACCAAAAAAAAAGGCCTATAAGCTTCTTCTTTTTTATAGATTGGACGCGGTATTTTTTGGATCCCGACTCTGAATTGAAATCTAGTCTGGAATCTGGTTGTCTATAAGTTTCGGTTACGTCAGCTTGCTAATGTAAAAACACATATTAAAGAAGACCATTTTGTTTGTATACTAGATAAAAGGCAAAAAATACGTGTTCAAAATGTGGATGCTTTCATGTACATGTTGTAATTTGTTGCAATAAGTAAGGTTTTAAAGGTAATACAAAGTTTTGGTATCGGGTCATAAATTTTGTTCAAATTAACATATTGGAAGCATATGCGTTCCTACAATATTTATTGATCATTGTCCCGGTTGAAATCGAGTCTAAAGTTATGAAATTATAAATAATAAACTCTTTATTTTGTATAGCTCCCTCTCAAGGTCAAGATATCAATTTAGCTATGAAACAATGTTTCTTGACTAAAATCGACCGATTAGCTATTCCCGTTTGGAAATCATATATCACAACTACATATTTCGAGATGTTCATGGTCGCAGCTACCATTGTACGGCCATATAGGCGCTATTTGAAATTTATCCAAATTTACCGGGAGCACCGGTAAATTTTTATATTCAATTTTTCTCGAAATCAGAAGTGTTTTAGGGTTTAATTTTTGTAGTGCTTATAATACATCCACAGGGGCATCCAAATATATCAAAATTGTAAAGATTCACCATCCACCCAATTTTCAAAATTTCCCAAAACTTTGTATTACCTTTAATGGTATTGACTGGTGTGCTTTGTCTGTGGAAAAAAAGAGAAAGCAATTTTTTTTTTTTTTTTTTAACACAAGTCACCAACTGATGGGTGTCATTGACATAGGGTATTTTTGTACATGTGTTCCTCAGGTATTTACATTTATATTTTTGTTTCTATAGTAGAATAGAAACTGTTCATTGTATTTGTGTACTTTTTGTAAACACTATGTACAAAATAGATCAAATTTGAAATGTAAATGTTTTTTTCCTTCAAAAAAGTGTGACGGTGTATTAAACACATTTGGAAGTCTACACGTTGATGTTTTGGCTTCTCTATAGAAATAAATGTTTACATTGTGAATTTTCCATCACAACTGAGCGCAATTTGATTTATTTTACATTGTCAAAAACTTAAATGGTGATCCCTATCGCACTTCAAAATGCTCAAGGGTTTCTCTCTCTCTCTCTCTCTCTCTCTCTCTCTCGCTCTCACCCTCTCTCTACCTCTTGATATTGCTTTATCGATTGCTCTCCTCTCAGCCTTGGTAAGTAACCTGGTGAACACACATTCTATTTTTTAAATATCATGTGGTTGTTTATACCAGCCATT